GCTCCACTTGCCTTGGAAAGAGTGTTTACACCGTCCATCCCTTCAGGAGCTGTGGGAGGGAGAGCGGGGTCACAGGACCTGGTGCCCCCACCCCCCCACCCCCAGACTAGCAGGGTGTTTGTGCAGATGCAGGACAGGTGAGGCAGGCAGTGCCGGCCTCTGAGGCACACTGAGAACTGTTCTGATCGTGTCCTTCATTTGCGCAAAAACTTTTAAAAATCCTCATTTCTTACAAGACTGCCCACAGTCTGGCTACTGTGTGTCCAACCTCATTTAGTCCCCTCTCCCGTGCACCGTGTCCAGTCACTGTGGCCTCCCCTGCTCTTGCCGGCATGTCCGGCTCGTTCCTGCCACAGGACATTGCACCTGCTGTTTCCCAGGCTTAGGACTCCCCCCTTCCATTTACTTGCACGTCTCCCCCATCTCCCTCAGCTCCTCACTTAAAGTCTGTCTCCTCATCTCAGTGAGGCCCCGGAGCATCCTGTCCCCCGCCACGATGTGATACGTAGGGCATGTCACCTCTGGGGCGTCTCTTCTGATGCGCAGAGCCCTGGCCCGGGAACACCACCAGACGACTCCCGCTGAGGTGCCCTTGGTGGTCCTCCACCCTGTCAAGGCCGTGACTCCCAGAATGGCTGGGGAAGTGGTGTAGACCAGAGGAGGCTTGCTCAGGGGGCGTCACGAGGCGGCGGGTGTGCCGGGTGAGGTCCGCAAGCGGGAGGGGGACACGTGTGGGGTGTCCGGTGAGATCGGGGCCGGGTCTGGAGTTCTGCTGCCGTGTGGCGGCCCCGGCGTGCCGCAGGGAGCCTGAGGGCCCTGCGCTGTCTCTGCGTCATTTTTGTGAGTCTGGAACTATTCTAATGCAAAATTTCTGTTTAAAAGAGTCCAAGTTTCCATCGCGTGGACATTCTGTTGGCCACCTCCCTCCTTATTTCCTCCGTAGCCTGTATGGCAGCTCGAGTCTGCGTAGTTTTGCCAGTTTTGTCATGGTCTCCGACCCTGCCAGAAGGTGAGTTCCGGGCTGCAGGGGTTTCGTCAGGTGCCCAGAACAAGGACAGAGCCCAGTGTGCTGTGTTATCAGTGCTCAGGAGACGCAAGCTGCATGTGAGGGACCCTGGCGTCCGGGCTCCTAGCTCTCTTCCCCCCCCCCCCCCCCCGCTCTTCACAGCCTCTTTTGCACACTGCTGACTGAAGGGCCATGGGTGACCCGCCCTGTCTGGGCAAGTGGCTTCTCCCACCGGCCAAGCCCACCCCCTCCTGTCTGCACACCCAAGTCTCTCTTTCAACTTGTGGATCAAATGCCATCGTTCCAGAGTTGCTGCCTCGGACCCTCGAGCACGGAAGCAGCTTTCGGCTCTGCAGGCCTGCCCGACACCTGTCTGTCCGCCCCGTGGCACTCACCATCCAGTCAGCCGCCAGGGCTTCCGTGACTTCCTCCACAGACCGCGGCCTCTCAGGGTCAGCGTGACTTCACTCATCTTATTCCCCGTGGAGGGAACACGTGGAGGTACCCGTGGGCATCTGTTGAGTGGGTAAAGCCGAAGGTCGACGGGCGAGTAAGGAGGAGGCTGGGAAGGTGGAGCCCGAGGCAGGTGTGGTGGTCACTTACCACGTGGGTTTGGGGAGAAACGGCCGACATCAAGCCAGCAAATGGTCTGCACGTTGACTGTTAAAAGTAAATACGTGGTGGACATGCTGGGCCCGAGAACCTGGAGAACAGAGAGTGCGGATCAGTGCCGAGGAGGCCGCAAGAGGGGGCACCCAGAGCCGGTGCCAGGTGAGGGGGCCCCAGGGTCTGACGGGACCTGAAGGGGCGGCTCTCTTCGGGAGGCTGGAGGAAGCGCGCCGACTTGGCGAGGCCGGATCTGCAGAAGCCGGGGTGGTGTGCCGAGGGCGCGTTAATGTGTAACGCGGGCACAAGTCTCTGCAGAGCGCCAGGGTCTGCGCCAGCGCCGGACGGGGTGGCTGCTGGCCGATTACCCGCCGGGATCGCCGCGCGGGGTCTCGGGCCTGCCAGGAGGGCACGTGAGCAGGAGAGAGAACATTCCTCCCGCCCGGCCGTGTGGAAACCTGTATTTTTCCGCAGCCTCATGAATTTAACAGATCAGACCCAGTGAGTGAATCTGAGATGACAAAAGGGACGGACAGACGGACGACCAGGTTGGTCCTGTGATGAGTGTGTAAACCTGGGCGTGTAAACATCCAGCCTGGCCGATCCGAAAATCCGGGTCCCTGGCACGCTGGCTACAGGAGACCGTGCCCAGCTCCCTGGTGCCTGGAGGCCCGCTGACTCCAGGGGCCCCCACTACTGTCCCACCCCGGCCCGGCTGGCCCTTGCCTGGAGCGGAATGTAGGGGACGTGGAACCATTGAGCACTGAAGGATTGAGGAAACCTACGCTTTGGACCCGGGGCCCCGGCTGCATGAACAGCGCCCCTGGGCTGGGCCAGCCTGTTCTCTGGAACGTGAGCCTGGCACCTGCAGTGCCCGGCGCAGGGCTGGGGCTCTCAGAGCCGGGGGCACAGGGAGCGGGAAGGAGAACTGAGCTGTGGAAGGACCCAGAGACGTGGCCTTCACGAGTCTGTCTTCCCACGAGTGTGTGGATGTGTGTCCCGTCCCTCCCCTGCAGGGCTCCGGAGTCCGAGGGTGCCAGGGAGGGGAGCCCACGTGCCAAGGTGGGGAGACAGCGTCCTTACCTCATTCCTGTTCATTGGCACTTAGCTTGAGCTGACGAGTTCCGCAAGTTCCCTTTGGTTGCGGGTAAAACGTTGATTTCCTCCCTGCATGGGCACAAGCACTCCTTCAGATTTTACCTGGAAAACCCAGAGAGTTGTACGTTTCTTCTGGGAACGCGGTTTCTCATACGCTCACACTGTAGTTAGGGTGCAGGAGCAGCATGGAGCTGTCTGCTGCCACTGAAGACCTATGCCTGGCCAAGTGGCGTTCGGTTGAAGGTGGCAAACAGACTGAGCGAATGACGGTGTTACTTGGATGTGCTGGTTTTATTTGTAAGAAAACAAGCATGTTTTCCCTGGAATGCTGAGGATGCTGTGTTTGTTTCCTTGACGGAATAGCCAGGTCCTTGGAGACAGCACTTCTTTGGACTGTTTGATCATTAGCTTAGGAAGGTTGGAAAGCCACAGGGTCTAACCACAGATGTGGATGCAGCCAGAAAATCTGATTTTGTTTCCCTTGGCCCTTTGATTTGGCCTGGGAAGCGGTGCTTCCCTGGGACACACAGGAAGGTGAGCGGGACCGTGGCCTCGAGAACCTGATGGGTGGGCCCCGGGTAGGGAGCGTGAGGCAGGGCCAGAAACAGCAGAAACAAAACATGCAGGCGATTCCATGCAAGACGCACCCGAGTCTCTGCTGCCTTCCCTGATTGAGACTAAAACAATTATTACCTCGGAGAAGATACTTTCCAGAGAACAGCTCTTCTCTCTGTTGGCCTAATGCATTATTAGTGCCATTAGCTTCCGAGTGACAGAAAGGAAGCTCTTGTTATCGACTTGCAAAAACAAAAGCAGTCAGAAGGCAGCTGGAATTTCAGAGGCTCCCCACCTGACACAGGAGGGAACTCCCCAGGCGACCCTGAGAAGACGATTGTGATGCTTGCTGCTTCGGACCCTATGAGAAGTGGGCCTTATTAGCTTCTCACGCATTTCAAGGCAACTGGCCTTCTTCTGTGAAGTCACGGTTCGAGTCACAGGGACGTCTGAGTGGCCGGGCGCAGGTGTGGAGTCACGGATGCTGTATAGTGAGCGCCTCTAAGGCCAGCGTGTTTACCATTGCTAAAAACGTCCGCCGTTCTCTCTGCGCGTGCGCAGTGCATGTTGAAGCTCTGTGTCGCTCCAGAGTGTGTCTCTGCCCTGGGGAAGGGGCTGGGAGTTCGGGCAGAGGCCAGGCAGGTGCCTGCGGTGTACGGCTTCCGGAAGACAGCTTGTCGGCCAAGGCGAACCACAGGCACGTTCAAACACTCCAACTTTCCTAAAATAAGCTGAGCAGTGACAACAAAGTGCTGTAACATAGCGCTGGAGTTTTTTTCTTTTTCTTTCTCTCTCTCTCTCTTTTTTTTTTTTTTTTAAATTAAACTCACCACACTTTTTCAGAATGAAGAGAGCTTAATGGTGAACATCCTGTTACTGGGGAAGGGGTCGGTTCTGGAAATTTTGGGTAAATGTTCTTCTACCTTAAAAAAATTTTTTTATAGTTTATTTATTTTTGAGACCGAGAGAGACAGAGAATGAGTGGGGGAAGGCCAGAGAGAGAGGGAGACACAGAATCTGAAGCAGCTCCAGGCTCTGAGCTGTCAGCACAGAGCCTGACGTGGGGCTTGAACTCACGAACTGCAAGATAATGACCTGAGCTGAAGTCGGACACTTAAGTGACAGAGCCACCCAGGAGCCCCTCTTCTGCCTTTTGAAAGGGTTAGTAATCATGGTATCTGGGCTGTTGGTGGAGGAGAGCATGAAACAAACACCTTCATATGTGGTTCCTTAGCAGGAGGTTTTGGATTTGATGCGTATTTAAATGGTCACTGCAAGTCCACTTAACACGCATCGCCTCACGCAGTGACAGAGCTTTGTCCCTGTAGTGAGGACGTCTGTCATATACTGTCTTGGCCGTTCTCAGACACGCGCGCCGGTGCCTTGGCCGGGTCTCAGGGGACCGTGTACGGAGACGCCGGGTGGGCCTCGGGCAGAGGTGTTCTGTTCAGGACAGTGTTTCCAGGAGAATGACAAGAGGTGAAGAGGGACATTTAGAGGATTATGGGAAAGGGGCAGGTGCTCCGCACGAGCGTCCGGCATGGGGCTGGCCTCACTGAACCCCAAAGGGTCTGATGTCCATACACGGGGAGCCCGGGGAGCGCATTTGGGGAGTGTGTCAGCAGACACCACAGCAATCCGCAGCAAGTGTCCACCTGCTCGGGACGTCTTTTTAAAGCGAGTTCAGCTTACCGCTTCTCCTCCGAGTTTTCCTTTGCTTAATTGCAGGTGATGATTCAAAAGAAGGCTTCACCTGTGCTCGGCCGGCTTTCATCTTTTGCAGACAAAGCAGGCTGGGGCTTGGGCCCCGGTCCGTGGCGTGCTTAGGGCCCAGGTATTAAAGGGGCTGGATCACCCTCAGGCTTTTAAGGGTTTTTTGGGGGTTAAATTGATGAGCATGTATAATAAACTGAAGCTCTGTTGTTGGCGGATTTTTTTCCTTGTATTTGTTATTTTATCAGTTAAGAGATGGGGGCAGGGGGGAACATTCGCCTTTCCTCCCACGCCTCAGATTTGCCTTGAGATTTGTCATCGACCAGGCTGGGCTTGGATCTTCTGAGGATTTTTGTACGTTTCTGCTTCTCAAATAATTACCTGGAATCCAAGCACCGGAGTGTCTCGATGGCCAGTGTGTCGAGTCCTGACAGGGTTTGCGCGGGGCCCAGGGGGCCGTTGTCCCCCGTGTCCCTCTGCAGCGAGGGCCTGACCTGCCCATGCTGGCGTGGGGGACACACCCAGCAGGTCTGTCTCTGCTGGAAATCAGGACTTCCTTTATGTCAGTCTGCCATTTTCTTCTGTTCATTTGTGTCTTTGGGATTCTGTTTTGGTCAAAGCGGAACTGAGTGAATTTAGTGAGCGAGTGAGTTCTTGGGGCTGCTTACATCTGGGCAGCAAGGCCCGCGCCAGTCAGTCGGTTTCCGACAGGCCCGTCTGGGCTGCAGACACACTGTGTAGACACAGCGCACATGAGATAGCGCGGCTCTCTTCAGATGGGGGCTGTTTAAAGCAGGCTGTTCAATGTGCCCCCGTGCTTCCATGACACGTGTGTGCACACGCACCGATGCATGCATCTGGGGGTGGGAGGCGGTACTACTTTCTTTTTCCTTCTACTGCAGTAGGGCGCCATGCTCGAGGGCGTGTGGAAAAGCTGCCCAATACACAGGAAGGTTGTATTGACTTTGTTCTCAGCCTTCGCTCTTTTCCTTGGGCCAAGGTGACTGAGCTCTCTGCCCGTACTTGCCGCAGCGCCCGACTCTGGCTTCGTTCTTTGTAAATAAAACAGAGTCCCCCTTCCCTGCACCACGGTTTGCTCCTAGTCTGCTCCACGGCTACAATTCAGTCTAATCGTATCTCTTGGAAATAATATGAGAAAGTTATGCTGTTTTACTCCATCAGATTTAATAAGTTTGGATGCTTTCCAAGTACTAGGCATTAATCACACTTAAACCCAGGGCTTGATAGTTCATCCACCCGGAGTATTCATGTCAGAGACATAAAACAATCTGCTTTAATGCCCGCAGTTCCCTTTAAATTGAGCACTTGCCTTGTGTTAATAAAACTTGCTTCAAATTGAGGGGTTGGGGCGAGGACTGGGGGTGGGGGTCTTTAAGTCCTGTAAAGCGTTTCATGGCCGAATTTTACTTTCCTGTTTTAAAGCTTTGCAGCATTACATGGACAAAAAGAAGGAACCAGGTGAGCTCAGAATAAGGAAGAATTAGTTACAGGTTGGCAGCATCCAGAGCTTGCACAGAACGTACAGAGAGATGAAGAGAAACGTGGTCCTTGAAATTGGACAATCCTCCTGATGTCCTTCCTGTGTCCTACTCTGGGAGACGGTCACACTGGGCGCTGGCGTTCGCCCGCGTTCCAGGAAGAGGGCACGATGCGTGCTGTCTGCACTGCCTGGCGCGATCGGTGGGGCTGCAGGGACGTGCACAGACCGAGCAAACATTCAGAAGTACAGTCTTCATCACCAGCATGCTGTGCTCCTTACGCTGGTTTCGCTCTGTCCCTTTAAGCGGAGGTGTCCTGTGTCTTTGCCACCGCGTGAAGCCGTGAAGAGAATGCTTTCTCGAATGTCTTTCTTCGTTTGGGTACAGAAGTCTTTATCTTGTAGCAGAGTTGCTTTAATATTTAATCAGAGTGACGGAAGTTTCCATATGTTCATGTTTTCCTAAGGATTCATCCAGGTCACTAGGAGAGATTTGCTCCAGGGTGAAGAGAACACGGAGAACATGAACTCTGCCAGAGGGAGGCACGGGCTGATGCTGGGGCTGGGTCTCAGGTGGCTGTCCATCTTCAGTCCACAGAGTGGGGTCAGTGTGGGTGGCCTGCCAGGCTCTGACGCAGAAGGACCTGTCGGCCGACACATAACCCTAGGAAGCACCCAAATTGAACGGCGTGGACACTCTAACTCCAAGCCACACAATGTGTGGTAGGTACTTGCTGAGTGGCGTGGTGCCCACAGTGACATCAGAGCAGCTCTGAGAAGGGGCGGGCGAGGCCTGGGTGTTAGGTAGCCTCCATGTGAGTGCTGGCCCTTCCTCTGGCCTCATGCACTGAACCCAGCTGGTTTGTGCATGACCTGGCCACTAGGGGATTTTTCTGGAAGCGTATTTTATTTCACTGGATGAAGACTATACATGCAAGAAGTTTCGATTTCAATCTGCAAATACAGGATGCTGCCTGGCCTGAAACGAACCAACGAGCAAACAGACGAGCTGGACGACTGTGGTAGAGCAGAGCACCTACTCTGTAGGTGGGCTCAGCCTCAGCACAGTGGACACCACACAGTTGCTTTCGTGTCTGATTTTCATCATCCCTGCCGAAAAGGGTCTGTCTTTATAAAGTATAACTCAGCTATATATGGAGTTTATCTGCTTCAAGTTATGTGGACGTCTAAAATTAACACCGGCCTTGGTATTAACGTTCAGAGTTTAGAATATGTTTCATTGGGCTCATCTTTAGCTACTGGTCATAAGTAATCTATGTGGGTCTGTAGGTACCCCCATTCAGCATTTATTTGGGGAATGTAGGCCACCAGCAAGTCATAGTGAAGTCCGCTGGCATGATTTACAAGTCTGATGTGGGGAGACAAGGCTTATCCCGTAGGAAGCTGATGATTCCATATGGTCATTGTAACGTTTCCTGGAAATATCTTAATCCCTGTGACATCATCCTGTGAAAGAAGCTGTATTCCATGACTCATTTCTTAGACATTAATTTAAGAAATCTTTGGCACGTGCTATTATGGCCCAGGCAGTCCTGTCGATGTCAGGGACAGTAACGAGCAGAAACAGACCATATTCCTGCTCTCATGGACCTTGCACTTACCGGGAGGGGAGACGGAAGCTAGCAATGTACAAGGAGTCAGTGCTGGTGAGGGTTCCAAGTGCTGTGAAGGAGTGACCAGGGCCTTCAAGCAGAGACCTGAATGCAGTGAGGGAGCAAAACTTGGAGGTGGCTGAGGGAAAGAACATTCTAGAAGGAATCATAAGTGCCAAGTCCTTGAAGTAAAAGTGTGCTCAGTGTCTTCAGGGAACTTCCCTTGTTCCCCTACAGCATATACTGATTGTGTAAGTATGTTTTTCACTTAACCACGATGTTCAAGTATCAATAAATTGCTTTCCCAACCAGATTTATACCTGTTTGAGGGCTGAAACTATATCCTAAATGTGCCCTGTGCTTTTGTGATGTTTAGCCTGATGGTGAACCCATAACAAGTGTTCAACAAACACATTAAAATTAATGGACTCAGTGATTAAAATGTTAAAATGAACCGTAATGTAATGGATATGTAGTTCATATGGAACATTTTTTGAGGAAAAGAAAAAACTCTTGCTATCTCAACCTTTCTTTTTCAGTTTCCTTTCCGTGAAGAGTTTATGTAGGCTCATCAGGCTCAAATTCATGATTGAGCATTGTCCCAGAAATGGCCTGATACTGGATAGTTGATAACATTTTTTCTTACTATAGAGTGTCCACAAGATCAAGGTTCTGTCCTCAGATTCTATAGGTAAGCGGAGTGAAGAGGGCAAGTGCAGCTTCCCAGCAAACACCACGACGCACGGGAAGTGTCCTGGAAGTGAGTTTTGAGTTCATGGTCATCTTTACTGAAGGTAGAATTTAGTTTATGTTGGAGATGTGCTCCGAAATTAGCTCATATGATGAGTGAAGTGAATTAAAAGCATTTCATGTGTATTTGGGGAGTTTGGATTTAGAGGAAGCCCGTGCTAAATCACTGGAAAGGGAAAGAATCCTTATGTGACTTTTCCAGCCCTAGTTGATGTAGAGACAGACTGAGCATGTGTGTGTGTTTCTCTCTATTACATGGTTATAATGGGGAGAAGAACATTCCAGAGGGCAGTAAGTGCAAAGACCCTGAGGCGCCTCAGGACCCAGAGGCTTCTTGGAATGCTCAGTGAGAGTCAAGAAGGTCATTGTATTGTGTTCCCATAGCACACACTGTGCAAATCTCTTCGCCGCAGCCAGACTTTGACTGAAGGGGGGGGGACAAAACTCCGTTCCCAGCTTCACACTTGGAGGTGTGTTGTGATGTCCCAAGGTCAAGGTGGGAGGAAACCAGAGGAGGCCGATAGGAGGGGAGGAGCACAAGGAAAGGGAGAGGGCGCTGACTTCGTTCGGGTTTCTCTAACTGTAGCCCCTGAGGCAGGGATTTGAAGGCAAGTGGTTTATTTGAGGGGGGCCCTCGTAAGGCTCATGAAGGAGGGGGCCAGTGAGTCAGACAGGCTCTGGAATTTGCAGGGCCCAGTGCAAACCCAAAATGCCCAATCCCTTATTCAAAACTGATGAAAAATTTCAAGACAATCACAGCAGAGCCTTAGGCCAACCTGAAGGGGGCGCTGCTAGGTGACGGGCGCTGTGCGACCCTGGGGTGCCCCGTGGAGAACCTGGGTCCTGTGCTCAGCAGGGACATGTGTAGGGATGTGTCCCCAGCAGGTACCTGCCCGGCTTCATCTCACGGGGACCCTGAGTGCACACACTGCAGGGCAGTCCCCGGGGCAGGTGTGTTCATTCACAGCCCCCCTCATCAGTGGGAGCTGTCTTGGGGTGCCTTCACCCCTTCATGTTTCTGGCCTGCCTCATGTGTATAGGCTGAGCATCCTGCACGGAAGAGTGACTTCCGACAGACAGACAGATAGACAGATGTGGGCGTAGATCGCGTTGGGTTGTCTGTGACCACCTCCAGGACCGCCGTGCAGGCCGGGTTTTGCGTGGGGCGTGCGGGGACTCAGCGACCACCTCCTGCTCTGCTGGCGGCTGGGGTTCGGGCCGCGCTCCCGGGGACGGGGTGCCGCTGGCGGGCAGCCCGGGATGGGCCTGCTGGACGCGCGACCTGAGGACGGCCTGTCCTTGGAGTCCAGGCTGCCACGGACGGGGCTGAAGTGGGAACACCTCTGTGTGGAAGCCCCCTGTGGAGAAGGAAGCCCCAAGGTGTGAGACGGAACCGACTGTTGCAATCAGAGTCCCTCAGGCAGCGAGCGCTCTTGGGGAGCAGTGAATGCTCTTGGGGATGCAAAAGTGCCCCCAATTTCATTTAACATAGAACCACCACCTGGTAGTATTTTATAGTCCGCAGGAATCTGACCCAATATTCTCATGCCTCCACTTTCTTACTCGTGAGAATGTCTTGGCCTCAGTCTCCTGCGCTTCCTCACAGTGGGGAATATTCTCTCCGGATCCCCCCGGGGGTCAAGGAAGAGCTCTGTGTTTGCCAGGATTCCCTTTCTGGGGCTCCCAGGAAGGGCAGATTCCCAGGCGCCCCTCCTGGCAGGGCTGGAGTGTGCGGCCGTGTTCTGACAGGGGGGAGGTGAGTGGCAGCCACGTGTGCGTCCCTTGCGGTGGCTGCAGGTGTGTGGCTGTACGGCCCTCTCTCCCTTCCTTGCTCTTGCTGGCCTTTCACAGAATTCCTTTTCAGGTGGGGATCCTTTCTCAGGCCACCGGGTCCACGATATCTAGACCGTACCGCATCTTTTTATCAGTATCAGAATCTGTACATATGCTTTATATACACAAAGCTGTTCTGCAGATGCCTCCCTGAGCGCCTCCCGTGTGCCAGGCGCTGCTCTGGGCCACGGACAGACCACCCAGCGCCCCTAGAACTCATGTTCGGGTGGGGGAGAGCAGCAATGAGCAGACGAACAACAAATGGACAATTAAAGGCAGCGAGCCGTGCTTGAAGGAAGAAAACAATGTGTTACAGAGACAGAGTTCGGACTGATTTAGAAGAAGACCTCAGGGAGGAGACAACATCTGAATTTAGATCTGAGTGGGGAGCAGGCAGAGCAAGCCAGGTGCGGGCAGATGGAAATAGCATTTGCACGTCTGAAGGTTGGGCTAAGGGCCACTGGGGACTGCAGTGTGGGCAGAAAGACAGGAGTCCCGAGGACCCTGGTCTCCTAAGTTTGAGCCCCTGGGTGGGTTGTGGGGCTGACTACGGAGGTGGGGAATATTGGGGGGACAACTTTGAAAGCTACAGAATCGGAGGGCCTCAGCTGGGAAGAAGGTGGGGGCGGCGGACGGTGCTCTTGCTGGAGTTCTCGTCAGCTCTAATTAGTCTTGTACATTTAATAAGTGTTTGTAGGTCTGTCATTGGTAATTATCCAAATATGTGATTGAAATACAATTTTGAAAAAATGGAACATTTGCTTTGGGGAGAAAACATTCTATTTTTTCGATACTAGAGCAACATTCAAGTTTTTCTAAAATCTAAAGATTTAGGAAAAAGTCTATTTTTCTTAGAGGCAGCTGTGCGATTGCTGTAAATGAGTAAACTCTTAAGTATGTGTTTGTGTGATCGATGGGTAAGTTACACATCTAAAGTTGCTATTTTATTTTATATTTTTAAATGTTTTATTATTTATTTTTGAGAGAGACAGAGGCAGAGCATGAGTGGGGGAGGGTCAGAGAGAGAAGGAGACACAGAATCCAAAGCAGGCTCCAGGCTCCGAGCTGTCAGCACAGAGCCCTATGAGGGGCTCAAATTCACAAGTTGCAGGCTCATGACCTGAGCCCAAGTCGGCCGCTCAACTGACTGAGCCACCCAGGCACCCTGAAAGTTGCTATTTTAAAATACAGCCCACAGCCATTGTCCAGGAGGGCGCCCCACTTGGCCTCCGGTGTGAGTTTAGAGCTGTTTAGTGTGCCTAACAAAATGGAGTGATTTTTTTGAAATAATTTTGTTTGAAAATACATGATAGCCTGAAAATGAGATTGTCTTCTTATTAATCTTGGGTTACTTTTCTTAGCTGGCTGCTTAAATCCGGGAAGGATGTGGAAACAGGACTAGGGAAACTAGGTGGTGACCAATCATGGCCCGGAGCAAGGCCACCCAGGCCGGACGTGTGAGGACGTCGTGGAAGGGGTCTGAGATTTGTTCTCTGTCACCTGCCTTCAGCCTCTCCAGGGGACGGCAGCTGGGGAGACAGTTCCTTTGGAGAGCGGTTGGGCACGGCAGAGGCAGCTGAGGCCCCTGGGACAACTTGAGGCACATCCCTTGCAAGTGGCGCCATCATGGCCCAGGCTCCCAAATCGTGTTGTTCACTTGTCTGTCCTTTAAAACCTGTCTTCGGGCATCTCTCTTTCGGATCACTGTTCCATGCTAATTCCTAGTGCTAATTATAAAACACCCATTACTCCAACTAATAGAAAGAAAACCGTCAAGACTCTTACAAGACATTTCACAGAATTTATGTATCCACCATCAACCTTTGACTCGATAGACAGAAATTGTTAATTGGGCAATTTGAATGATCTTAATATTGATTTAAGCTTTTAAATGGTTTTTTAGACGTTTTATCCTAATGCCATCATGAGAACCCAAGAAGGCAGAGATGATACTCTAATTTATCACATCTCCGTATTAAATGGTGTAAACTAGTGTTGAGACCCAGTCCCTTCTATATCTAACGTGTATTCTCATAGTTGTACATTACTTTAAAAAGAGAAATGGAGTGTTTTTCCTGTGTGCTGATGATTAGGACTCTACATTCCTGTTTCTGCTAAATTTGATTTAGCAAATCAGAGCCAAGAATACCATCTACATTGCAATTTGGCCCAAACGCGAATAGTCATTTTTGGTGGTTTTCCTTCTGCATTAGATGGATGATATCAAATAGGTCTATTAAAATAAATAAAGGTACTTATTCAGCGGTTAATTTTATACGTGGTCTGTTGGTGCATGTAACACAAGAGGGATATTAAACATCTACAGGGGAGTCGGTGGGGATTGGATAGTAGGAGGTAAAGGAATTGGCCATGCTCTTCTGGCAGAGCTCTGTGGCCTCAGCATGCTACCTGTGTGGTCACAAATGCTGGGTCTAAGCATCTCCCACTTGTCACCTCCCTCCATATGGCCAGTGTACAAAGTGGATTCCTGGCTTTTTCAATATGACAGTGTCTGCTATCTGCATGGCCAGACGTCCCTCAGCCTTGATAGCCTTCGCGGTGGCTCTTGCGGAAGGCCTGATGGAACTGATGATGTGTACAGTGTGTTTGAGGGCCCCGTCATTACCTCCAGTTTTAAACATATACAAGGCCATGTGACCTGATCCATATCATTTGGACCTTTAGAGAAATAGGCACACAGTCATGCTTCTAGGTTATGCTCATTAGGCC